ATGAGGGACGGTAGACAAAATTCCCAGGGTAGAAATATACCAATAGTTATTGATGTCAAAAGTATGTAAATGTCATGCTCAGTATCCAAGGGAAGTTCGATCAAGAACAAGATGCTATCCAACAACTTCTCAGCTCAAATTGAGAACTATGTATTTGTAGAATGGGAAACCGCTCAATAGTCCAGCAATTTTTTGTGCTAATGGTGTTTTCGAAGGAATGGAGGGCTCTTTAGAGCAAAGGAGAACTTGAAGTCGATGTTCCTGGGCGCCAATAGCACCATGATATTCTCTTCAGAACAGGGTATCATTGAAAGACACAATGCGAACCCTTGCCTGGCGGGTACTCGAGTGATCGAGGGTGCCTCCAAGACAGAGAAGAGAAGCAAGAACAAGCCATGTGATCGTATTCTTTTTTATTTTATTTTAAAAAATGGTACCTTATGAAATTGCTTTCGATAATGTGAAGGAGGCAGGGTGGGCCAGGACCTCCAGCATCCTTCTAGTAAGAAAGAAATCATCCACCTGGCTATCGCTACCTGTAGTTTTGCCCGGATATAAAAGGGGGTTGCAAACTATTCCTCATCTTTCTTCACTAGCGATAGCTACATAACTAAAAATTGTATACATATTTGTGCTATTGTGCTAAGATATTAGGCAAAGTGGCCATCCTTATTACTCAAATCCGATTGTCTGGAAACTGGAGACCATCCACCCATTTTCCGGGACAAGATTTCTCTCACTGGTAGCACACCCACGAATCTTTTCATATGAGCGTGTATCCTTACAAACAGGATTAGTGCCATTGACACAGCCTGCTATCTTTTCTCCCACTTCTTTGCCTTCGAAGTAGGCACCTTGGAGAAATCCGAAATACTGTGCGCTTGTTGCTTCTCCAGCAAAATAAAGACGCCTTAGATTTGCTCGAAGGTTCTGGTGTGTTTCAATGCTCATCCCCGTCGGCCAGTTAGAGTAAGATCCATACGCCCATGGCTCCACGCTCCATCTCGGGTACATGAAGTCGATAGGATCCGGAATATCAGGTCCAAACATGGTTCTCAGAACCTCCATCACCTCGGTCTTGGTAACTTCATCGGATTGTAGCTCAACTCTATAGCTCTCATGGTACACAACTGTGACAAATAATATTCCAGAGCCAGGCAAGAAGCCAGTAGAAGAAAGAGATTGCCAAACTGGATAGTATCCTCGCTCGTTTGAATCAGCGTACAAAAAGAACTGCGTCTCCTCGTCCCAGAACTGTTGATCTGGCGGAAATTGTAAGAATATCTTTGTGTAGGTTCCCATTTGCATGCTCTCAATCCCTTCTTGCTTCCATTCCGGCAAAGAAGGTGTGAATTCAATAACATCATTCTGGAGAACACCAAGACTGAAGGTACAGATTGCATAATCTGCAGTAATGCAACTGCCGTCACTCATAGTAATGGTCACTGATTTTCTGGAAGAATAATTAATCGCTGTGACATTGGTGTTTAGCAGTAGGCGGCTGTCATTCTTTTTCAAGAACGTATACGCTTCGCCTTCAATGAAAGTGTTGAAGCCACGTGAGTCAAATACGAGGTTGTTTTCATCACTGAACTGGTAGAAAGTGGTATTATAGTTCTAGGATTTGATTAGCTTCCCTTGCTGAGTGTGGCTGTGGTTATTAAAAAAAAATTAAAATTTCATAAGTGCAATACTTACAACAGTCGACCAAGTTTCCGAAGATTGGTCTGGAGGATAACTGTATTCCCAATCAAATTCCCACCACTCCGCTGCTTGCTGGCGCATATCTTTCTTTGTCTTCCAGTTTGCAATCGACAACCCAACTCTGACCGACCTGTCTTGTAGATTCTCTGACAAAATTCGGCCAGCATCCTGCTCCAGAAGTGCGTAGGCTTCCTCATACGTTTCATCAAGAAGGTACGAATAGTTTGTCGCTCCTTCATCGGCATAGGTAAGAATGGAGGAGTAGTCCGAGTAAGTGTTGGTCAGGTTATACTTTTTGGCCAGCGTCCAAATAGGATTTTCCGGACCACCTTCAGTTCCCAAGCCTTGTACCCAATTGGCGCCCAGTTCGACCGTGAATGGATTTCCATCGGGGTCCTTACCAAACGTTGTATGAGCTACGCGACCTCCGATGTACGAGTTGACATCGACGAGGAGAAAGTCAGTCACTGAGGCATTTGACAAGGCTTGAGCTGCTGTGACACCAGCTACTCCTGCTCCGAGGACAATGACAGAGGTCTTTCTGCATGTTGAAGGGGCATCTGAAGAGCGAATCTGAGCAGGAGTTGATATGGTTAATTGGAGAAGAGCAAAGAACGGGAGACTCCAGGTCAAAATCGCGACCATGGTGACAGATCTGTTGGTAACGATTATGATTCCATCTGAGGATCAACTGAAGATATAAGAGGCTCGCTCCTATGACATGGAGCCTTGTCAATAGGTCTAAATGCAAGTTCCTATGACTAGCTGCACGAAGTCAAAAGTGTGATAGGCACAAATGGTTGCTTATCTCTTGCCTCGGCAGGGGATGTAACCCTATCTTCGATTCCTTCCTAGTAAGTAGGTCGGGGTTGATATCCTTGCTACAGTAATTAGAGCAAGATTCGACTTCCCAATTACTTAGTTGCCAAATTTCAATACTTTCCGCCCGAGGATCGAGGGATTCCAAAAACCAAAAAAAAAAAAAAAAAGGAAGAAGAAAATACTTACCTGATAGCTACCTACGCTTACAAACACTCTGCCCCAGCGAGAATTGCGGATCTCTTTATGGTAGATCGTGAAAGAGCTGCATCGTTCGGGGTCTCGATGCTTCTTAGACATTTCCCTTTCCGAAAAAGGTTATTAACTTGCCCAACCACCCATGAGGGGAAGATTGGCCTCTCGTGATTTGAAAAGGCTACCTCCTCAGCTAGTGTATTAAACGGCAGCAGCATATGCGAGTGCTGCTTCTCTAGTTGCCGCTGAGATTGACAACTAAGCTCCTCCACTGGCGTTTAGATTCTATACAAAATTAAGGAGGGTGATCGTTTACGAGAGTATATGAGGATTAGGTCGGCAAGAATGTGACGCAAAGTTGTTGCCCTTTAGTTCCAGGTTCGACAAGATATCAAATAGCCTCTCACCTCTTGTGCAACCATTCCTTGATGGGTGATATTTATTGTTTGTGGGGAAGGTGATCAAAATGTCTGCCAGGTACATTTAAAGTGAGTGATGAGGGCTCGAATGCACTCAATTTCGTTCACAAATAGAGTGGCGGGTAGAAAGAGGTGGCTGGATCATCTGGGGAAACGAGTGCCAAGAAGCGGTAGATTTTATGTCTTGGCACACTAAGATAAGCCACAACTCTCACTGATAAGCTCGAAATATTTTTTGCAGTGCGCAACAACTCAGCAACACTGCACATCTTGTGACGTTGACCATGGGCAAGCTCAAACCTAACAAGCGCAATAGCGTTGCATCAGCATCCTCCCCATACTCTAAAGCACAAGCTACGACTAATAATGTGTTCAAATTTGTGCGTAAACTTCATTCCACATGCCCCGCCTTTCTCTCTCAGCAGAGCATGTGTAACTAACTACGATTCGGAATAGAACACGAATGTGGGACAGCACATCCTCAAGAATCCTGGCGTAGCCGATGCGATCGTTTTGAAGGCAAACCTGAAGCCGAGTGACACTGTGCTGGAGGTTGGACCTGGTACAGGAAACTTGACGGTGAGGATACTAGAAAAGGCAAAGAAAGTGGTACGAACGCACTCCTCTATATACTGCACCTCGGGGAAGAATGGATGACTAAGTTTGCATAGATCGCCGTCGAATTAGATCCTCGTATGGCGGCAGAGGTCACCAAACGAGTTCAAGGAAAGCCTGAGCAGAAGAAGCTGGAGGTTCTGCTAGGAGATGTAATCAAAACTGAGTTGCCGCATTTTGATGTCTGCATCAGCAACACGCCATATCAGGTAGAAATGCACCGCCTTCCACAGCGCCACAAGTATTCTATCTAACTCTAACTAGATCTCTTCACCTTTGGTATTCAAGCTTCTCTCCATACCGAACCCTCCTCGATGCTCAATACTCATGTTTCAACGAGAATTCGCTCTTCGCCTAGTCGCCCGCCCAGGCGATTCACTCTACTGTCGCCTCAGTGTCAATGCCCAGTTCTTCGCAAAAATCACCCATGTTATGAAAGTTGGAAAGAATAACTTCAAGCCTCCACCACAAGTCGAATCTTCTGTCGTACGCATAGAACCCAAGACTGGATCAGAGAGACCAGGAGTATCGTGGAATGAGTGGGATGGGATGCTGCGTATCTGCTTCGTACGGAAGAATCGGACAATGAGGGCGAGTTTTTTGGGCACGAAAGAAGTATTGGCGATGATGGAGCAGAACTATAGACGATATTGCTCTCTGAATGATATTGCCTTGGATGAAACCGAGATTGACGAAGATGAAGCTATGGAACTTGATGGAGTGGCCGAGGAAGAAGAGTGGGGTGGGATCATGGATGTAGATGACGATGGAGACGATACCCCATCATTTTTCAAACAGGAAACAGAAAGGATATTTCGGGAGAGTGGCAGCAAAACAAAAGCCAAGAAGCCGAAGACTAGGGTGGGATTGCTAGTGAAAGAAAAGATCAGGAAGGTTCTTGAGGATGAGACGGAGTTGGCAGATAAACGAGCTGGGAAGTGTGACGAGAACGACTTCTTGAGGCTTCTGCTGGCTTTCAATCAGGAGGGAATACATTTCAATTCATGATCAACAGGACAAAGCCATGGGACTTAGCAAGGCGTTCGGGGCGTTTAAGATATGTAGAAGGCAGAGCCACTACGGTTTTCATGAGCATGGTATTAGTATATGCTACTTCCAAAATCTATCTCTGGATAGCCAAAAGTCCTTCTTGGTCCTTAAAGGATGACAAATTCTTCGCTTCTCTGCCTCACTGCCAGAAAATCAGCATAGGGATTTAACAAATTGCCAAAAAGAAAACAAAAGTAATGGTGGCTGTCGGGTTCGAACCGACGCATCTTTCGATATCAGAGCTTAAATCTGACGCCTTAACCAACCTAGGGATATGTCAGCGGAGATTGCCTTCAGAAGGAGAATGTTGCATACTCGGCCAAGCCACCATATGCGAAATTTTTGAACTAGTTTTGCTAAATCACGTATGTAGCAACACTGTGTTCTTGATTGAATAGGCACCTGCTCACTTTGGAACCAACAAAGGCGGCCAATCTGAGAAAGAGCCTCTCCACTTCACGAAAGCAAGAATAAAACACAAGGAATACTCAGTCCATTGGGTATCCAGAAGGCTTAAGAGTCTAAATGCCACAGAATGCACTTTCCAGAGACTGGAAAACCACGTGGCTATCTCATTTATCCAATAATTCTCCAATAACACGCATATATTCATCCCTCACCTCCAAATGCGAGCAATGCGCGTTCCCTTCCAAAGTAATGCCTCTGACATCCGGTATTCTATCCAGAAACGGCTTCACCGCATCTCCACTAGCAGCTTCTCCTACACCGTTGATCACCAATGTCGGGACACTGTTCGCCTCGCCATTAGCAACTGACTCATCCTTGGCGATGTTCTCGGATTACATACCTGATATGAACACACTCCTCACTTGTGTCCCAATTTCGCATATAACCCCCCCCTCCGCCAGAACCTACCCTCTCCCATCGCCTCAACCACCATCCTATCCTATGCGTAACTCAAGCTAACCACCAAATCCCCCGGCAACGGCTCAACATTACACACATGCTCCTTAATATAGCGCGTCATCGCCTCGGCGTATTTTCCATCTGACGTCGAATCGTTCTTCTCATATCGCGTCAAGACGTCCTGGTTGTCCTTTGGTAGCGCAGCACGATAGGAGAGCGAATTTGTGACAGAATGCAATTTCCTCGTGGCCGAATTCGCCAGGACTAGTTTCCTGAGCCCTTCGGGCCTTTGGGCTGCGAGATGAGAGCCGAGCATGCCGCCCCAGCTACTACCGAGTAAGAAGTATGCTTTGATGTCGATGTAGGCGATGAGCTGTTTGAGCTGGGCTAGAAAGATCGCATCTGTCCAAAAGTTTGGCATATCTTCAGTTTCTGGAGGTGCGTGGATCTTCCGCTCCCGATTTGGTCGTAGAAGATCACAGGGATAGAGTACTCTGGAATATATTAGTTTTGGAGCATAGAGAGATGGGAAGGAAGGAGTACGTGATGTGAGATCTGAATGGGAGAGGAGGAGATCGTGTGTTAGTCCTGGTCCGCCGTGAACCATACCAGGGGTGTGTTGGATGCATCAAAGGAATCAAAGATTATCTAATACGTCTGAAGCGGTTTCCTAGCTGGGCTATACTCAAAGTTGGCAAAGCCTTCTGTCATTTTAGGGATATCCGCCATTTTGTGAATGTTATGTTCACTGATGCAGCAATAGAAAAATGCCAAGGATATAAGAAAAAAAATAGTCACAGGGACTTATGGGCGAAACGGCTTTAAATATCTAATAAATTTCGGAAACTAACATGAGGAATATATAATATTTCGTCCCTGGCTATCATCTAGAAGAGGGAGCCAGTAATACACTGCTACCACAATACTTATTCAACATCCATTCCACAAAAGCCACAACCAGCTCGTTAGATAAATTAGTGAGGTCAAATCATATTAAAAACAGAACAAGCATTACATCATTAGTAAACATACAAACATCTAATAATTCTGATTCCTTTAAGGCGATGTCTCCCATTTTAGAATGTCACAATGGTTTGTGCCTATCCCTATCGGTATCTCGCTTAACATGGAAGCTACCTCACACTACACCACCAAAACTTGGCCCCTCCCTTTCCAGCAAAACAAAATGAGCAGAGAGGGATTCGAACCCTCGCAGCTTGCGCTACTCGAATGCTACAAGCTAGGCTTGTAAGTTATGACAAACTTGAGTCGAGCTCCTTAGACCACTCGGACATCTGCCCTTTGACTGTAGCCAAATCTCTTTCTGGATTATGAGAAAGACCTTGCGATTTTACCACTTCCCTAAAAGGGGCTTGTGGTTTGCCTTAAAAAATTTCCAGTTTATTGCAGTATATATTGCAATGTCAGTGGCGCTGAGAGATTTTAGTCGATATGAGTCACCCTACGGGGGGTTTTAAATTGTCTCGGTTCTCTGTCTATGTCTTTGGCATCAAGGCTAGTGTAGGCGCCATAAGAAGCTTTGCTTTTTTTTTTAAGATCGAATTGTGAAGAGTTTTATATGATCTTGTGTAAGGCCAATAATATGTTTCATTCTACACAAGAAGCTGGGGCTATTGCACATCTACATTAGCAATGTCGAATAGGTACAGTGAAGGTATAAAGTAGCTTATTAGGCTCGAATAAGCCATGGACGACTGGTTTTCGGGTGCCTCTATGGTAGTGTCCTCTTCATAATTTGTAATACTCACTCAATAGACTTCATTAAACCTCTTCTTCCAAGCCAGCCATACAGCGCATCCCTAATAATCTGCACCCACTGCCACGGCTCCTTTCCCCCATCCACTTCCCCCATCCCAGCATCAAAGTAATCCCATCCGTACACCCCTCCAAAACCAGGAAACTCTCTGCGCAAATGTCTCACAGTTTCAACAACCTGCTTCGTCTCAACAAACCCATTACCGTCATTTGAGTTTGTGAGGACGCCCATAACGACCCTCTCAGGATTCCATCCCTTTCTCATAATCCATTGATAGGTGTTTGGTGTGCTCGCATCGCCGAAATTACTATAGAATTGCGCATTGTACCAGTTTACGAGCGGTTTCCCGGAGGCGTCGGTGGCATTTGTATCTAGGTCGAAGTAGTTGAAGCCAGAAAGATTGATGGCGTCGTTGTATTCGAGGGCGATGGCCACAGGCGCCATGGTCAGGATGAAAGAGGGACCCATGTCACGGTGCAGAGCTTTGAGAAGGCGGAGGGGGACATCCATGTCAATGAATTCTTCGATGTCTAGGTCGATTCCATCAAAGCTATAACGCCGAAGGAAGCCAAGCAGTGATTCGTAATGAGCTTGGAATACTGTGTCGTTCCCCCCAAGAGTTTGCTTAGAATATGAACCAGCTGCAGCACCACCTACCATTACCATTACTTTGATACCTTGAGCTTGAAGGATACGTGTTTCTTTCCACTGCATGAGTTAGCTTATTTCTCAGTGTATTTTGTCGAAAGACACGTGATTTGAATAAGCGGCCATTCTTTGGGAACTTATGTGTAGGAAGCACATACAAGGTCATCATATTTTGGCGAATGTGGAGGATCATCGTTAAGATTAATATTTCCTGCCAAGTCGTGAATATGCAGGCTAGACACAATGACATGCGTTACTCCAGTTTTCTGCTCGATTAGAGGTAGGAGCGATAATGCCTCGCCATTTGTCTGGGCTCGGTGTTGAGTATACAGTATAATGCGAGGTTTGTGAGGATCGGCAGCTTCTCGATTAGTTAGTTCTTGCGCTACGTCGTAGAACAATTTCCTGTTCTGAGATGGGCTAAGAGTTGGTGTTGACAATGGAGAGGCATTTATAAAGTGGAGCAAGGTTAGCAATGAACATATGAGCTTCATCTTGCCCTATCGGGAATGACCAAAAAACTCGACTGTCAAGGTTGAGAGAAGCAAAAGACAATAAAGTATACTCGCGAACTACACGGGTGGTGCAAACTATAGTTTAATAGCGCAACTTGACAATGGAGGACAAGCCGCATGATACTCTTCATGCACCTAAATCACCACATGATTCGGACTTTGTAAAGTAAACAGAGTTTCCCTTTGGTGGCTAATGAGATTGTAACTCGGCATACTGTTATGTAGGCTCAGAAGCAGTGGAAAGTAAATACCACTGGTGGTATTAATTTAACCCTTTGGGTGACCTTAGATTCCTAAGCTTTGAGCTCATTCCAAGTGCCGCGAGGGTGCAGCTCTTTTGGGGAATTCAGGCTCTGATCTCGGCTAATTCAGGGGAACTGTAAGCAACGACTTCCTGGCTCGGCATTCCTCTGCTTCCTGCTCAGGCCAGATTCTGGCAGAGATTGGGCCAAGATAAAACAAATTGGGTATTGACATCTCGTTCTAGACTCCTCAAATAAGCGCTCCCCATGCTATGTCTCCTAACGCCATCCTATACAATTCATATCATGCCCTCGTTGATGATTTCGCATTTTCTTTCCCTTTAGTTTTCTTCCTAACCGGCTGATAAACATCATTAAAGTTCATTACAACTCCCAAAAATCGCATGTCAACATCGGGTTGATATGCCAGATCGCCAAGCAAAAGACACACCCTAGTTCGGAAGTGTCCTCCAAGGGCCTGTAGGCGCTCACGAAGGACTGGAAACTCGTCCGAGATGCTATCATCTATTATCGGTGCAGGCGTAGAATCTAGTTGCCGTGGCCCACGTCGTGTCGTGGCAGGAGTATTTATTAAGTTGCCGTCATCGTCTTCGCGTTTGCCTCGAATTTCTGAACGCAAGTCGTCTCCCTGACGCCGAGTAAATTCTGATACAGACCAACTATACAAACTATCCACTGCTTCTCGATAGCTCAGCATTAGCCGGAGAATCTCGCCAAGCTGCACCATAAAAGTGTTCTCGTCGACTTCACCATGGTATTTCTTCTTCGCGCCAAGTAATCCTTTATGCGTGATAGCAGTCAGATACTTTGTGTGTGCTTTAATCAGGTCATCTAGCGTACAGCCTTCCTTATGAATGGCTGTCTGAAGCTCATCCCAGGAACTTTCAATAACCTCAAACAGGATGTAATACTGGAGTTGACCGATGAAGTGAATCATCTCCGCCAAAACACCACGGGTTGATTTCCAAGTCTGGGCAACGTTTGCATCCTCTCCTTGGAGAACACCACGAGCTCCAGTCATGCATTTACGCCAAGTCGAAGAAAGTGCGAATTCGACGCGTTTAATCCTCCACAGGAAGTTGAACACTTTGAGGTACTGACGGTTGCCCCACTCAGTGACAACTACATCAACTGGAGCGTCGATTTTGTATTCCAAAGTGAAGCAGTCCCATCCGATATCTCCATGAGACAGTTGAAGCATTCTAGCATCCAACCGACGTAGAACTTCCGGGGAATCATATTGTGCATTTGAGCCTCTGATAGCGTGCTCTAGTTGTGCCGTAAGGGTGTGTCTGTATTGTGCACCTGCTGGACGGTCAAGATTTGTTGAAAGAGATTCCATAAGTAAAGCGATGAAGTCTCCCTGCCCAAGCAGGATATAATTTTTGAGCGCCTTAAGATGCTCGAATAAATGAAATTTCTCGGCCATGAGATATATGAGACGAGCCATCGTTGTTTTGTATGCTTCATCGATCCAAGTCTCTAGCGTTTCCGTGTCTCCGTATCGTAACTCTTTAGATGCGGCTTTCGAATAATCTTCCACCCACTGAGAGTCACCGCAGCCGTATCGAATAAAGTTCAATGATTTACCAATGAGAAATACTTTTTGAGCAAAATCTTGGGTGATTATACTTGGAACCATGCTCTCATCGAGCTTGTATTTGTCCTCCCAGACACTACTCGCACCACCCCGACTCCTATTTTCCGGAGTATCGCTGACCGTATTGGGATCCTGCTCCGACACGAAAAACTCATGATATGGGTCTGACAGCTCGCCATCATAGATCCATTGCCGCAACATATCATAGAACGGTCGTGTGACATGAACCAACAATCTCTCGGCGAATGCGCCTACCATTGGGTCTCCATGAGAGGAGGAGAAACCATGGATAAGAGACACTAATTGTCCACCCTTTTTGCTCTTTGACTCTTCGCTGATCAGACTCATCAACCGAAGACCCATTGTTGCCTCACGAGTCCACACAACACATCGTTTTAGAGTAACGCCGGCTTTGCCAATTCCTCCTCTCGGCTCCTTCTCGTCTAAGACTGACAGCGCACGTCTAATTTGACCTTCTAGAGTAGCAACTAAGCCAAGGTACGACCGGAGCTCGCTGCCTATGGCTGCTCTAAGACTTTGTCTAAGGAGACCTCCATCTACTGACTTAACAAAGGCTGCCAGACCTCTATACAGCAGCGAGGGCTCAGCCAAAGTATGGAGGATGGAGATAATAGGAACTGGTAAGGTTGACGGTAATTTAATGGTTGTAGGCGAAGAGAAAGGTAGATTAGTGGAAGACAATCCTTGGAGCGTGAAAGGCAAGTCTCTTAGCAGCGCAGTTTCCGATGGATCAATCTCAACATAATTCTCCGCTAGCAGAGCAGTCTTTAGCGCTAGTGCTTCTCGTTGGATTACAGCATTTTTGGTAAAAGCTTCATCCTCTACCTTTTTATCTGTTTGACCAACCCCTCGCTCGGGCAATCTTCTGAGGCCGTCCGGCGCAAATGCGTCTTCAAACTCCTTTGCATCTCTTCTTGACCCAAAGTTGGGAGATTGTGGTTCTCGTGTATCCGCCAATTTCCTTTTCTCTCGCCTCTTGATCGGACTCTTGAAAGGGCTAGTAAGTATAGGCTGTGGTGGTTGCTGCTGGTCTCCAAGTTGGTACAAAAAATACAGCACAGCCCATTTCTGCTGTATCACTGGAATAGAAAGAAGTCGACTGTAGAGGTTTGAAAATCGTAACGCCTTTTCCGGGTTCTCGAGCATCAGGCGCTTTTTGATCAGATCGGAGGCTTGATTGATGTCCGCTACAATGGCTGGGCTCCTTGAGCTAGAATACTGTTAGTAAAGAGCTTTCACAGCGAGGATATGGCGTTGACCTTTGCAGAACCTCAGTCACAAATGCGACAGCATTATTCTGTCTCTCCTCCGCAGAGTCCACATCTTCCCCAGGCACAACTACGTGTAACCTCTCGACCAAAGAGTTAATACCTTTATTGACGCGTTGACTTCGAGAAGACATGATAAAATCATCTCAAGGGATAAATCTGTGATCTATTTCATCCGTGCTAGCGCATTGTGGTTGTCTTTTTGTTTT